TACTTGACTGCTGGGATTGCTCTCTTACCAGATTTCCCCTCTGGGATAAATAAAGTAATCTATCTATCTATCTATCTAGGCCCTGGTATGCAGTGAGTCTGTTAAAAGCTGCAGTTGTTTGAGAATTTTTTACTTTTTAAGACAATCAGAATGCACATTAAAATTACTATTATTTTTTTTGCTGTTTAACTGGTTTATATCCCAAAATACTTATCAAAACTAGGCAAATACATTTAAACCTAAGCAGCATGGAAAACAGAGGAAGAATTGTTACTTGTATTAACATCCAATTGTTCCACCCTGCTCTAGCTTCCACAAAGTAGTTTCTGCTGCTCAGATATGCAAGTGTTAGTAGTTACGCGCAGTTTTTACATGTTGTCTTCCCCCTCGGTCCTAGTCACAGCTACCTTGTCTATCCTGCAATTGAAAGACACAGCTTTCTTGTTTTCCATTGTTGTGTTTTCTAGTGATCGCTGAGTATATTGGAAAAACTCCCACAAAAAGAATTTCTCTAGGGTTATCAACATTTGCTTTCAAGTTTCAAATTAAGTCAGAATACACAAAGAAGGTAAAGATTAAAGGAAATGGTCTCAAGATTAAATTTGAAATGCTAACTCAACACAATGGTAGAAGAGATATAGCATTACATTAAGGTCAGTTACTGGGCCCACTGTCTTAAATGCCATGGTTTTAGATATTTGTGTATTTACAACAGCTCTTAAAGGAGCCAAAACATGTTTTGTGTAAATGAAGCTAACCATAAGTCAATCCACCAACAAACCAGCTAACACGAGCACCCACCCTTCAGCCCGCTCAAGTCACTTGCACCAGCAACTTGAGCAGGATAACAATAAGGTCATAACTCTTCCTCCATGAAAGGATGGTGATTATGACAGCAGGTCCATTAGCAAAATGGAGGAATAGCATATGCAGCGTGCAGCTCTGGCTATATTAATCTGCATCCCTCACCCTGACCTCGAGTAAGTCATCCCCTGGAGGAGTTGACCTAAGATCATTTCAGACACCCCTTGATGGCGAGCCCTAGGGTCAGGTCACTATAAATCTTACGCTGATCAAGACCAAGTGACACCCTGGAACGTCCCTTTTCTCCAGTGTCAGCAGGCATGAGGTATACCAAGTACTTAGTTGTGACCAAAACATTTTTTGCTGGGCGGCTGGTGGTCAGGAAGCAACCAAAGTCATGGGTCTTGGCTTTTGGCTTCTCCATTCAGGATATTTATACGTCTCTCTGTAAGTCTTTAGCAAAGACAGAGTGTGGCAGCTATGCTACCTAATGAGTCACTTGTGCATGGAGGTTGCAGATTGACTTCCCCTCCATGCCTAAAAACAGATGAATGCTTTGACAGCACAGTGAAAAAAGAAAAAAGAAAGAAAAAGGAAATAAATGAAGGCCTTCTGCTGGAAAAGTGTTTGGTGAAAATAATGGCCAACATTCAAATGCAGCAGGGCACTTCACCCAAACTCTGGTAAGCCAGACCTAAAAATCCTAGAATAATGGCATCCAGACTCATACCACAGATGTAAGCAGAAAGTTAGCAAACAACATATCCCACATTAGAGTGATGATCTGATAAGTTTCTTAAAAGAAGTGCATATTTACAGATTTCAGAGGAAAATGGCTGTTGTTCTTTCAATGTAGCAGATGCTTGCTTTGAATCTTTGACCTAAATGAGAAAAGCCGTATTATATTAACAAACACTGTTTCAAACATCACACAACCACTAAACCCTTTACTTGCATGTGTCATGTTTGAGAAATAAGTCCATCCATCCATCTATTATCATTACCACTTATTCCCTGATGGGGTCGCCGTGGAGAAATAAGTGGATAACACAAAATAAAGGAATAAAGGAAAATCTTACTAAGAAATGTCAGTCTTTTAGTCAATATTTGAATACAGGAATGTGCAAAAGTATCTAGCCGCCCTTCAACTCTTTATACACTGGTGATCAAAATTAGAAAATGATTTATAAAAAAATGTTTTTTTCTAAAAATAATATCATCTTCACAGCTCAGCAGTTGATGGACATTTTGTGGTGTCTATACCATGCTACTAGAACACTTTATCCACAAAAAACTAAGGCAGTTCCACAAAAAAAACATTATATAGCAGAAAACAAACTGATCAAATTTCGTGAACATCAATCACTTTAGTGTGGAAAAAAGATTACAACTAATCTGGAGGGTTACAACAGTCAGCAATTAGTAGTAAGTGTAGAAGCCTCTGCTCTGAATGGCTTCAGCATATCTGCGGCCACGGCACGATACTATTCTCTTACACAGCTCTGGTGTGATTTGGATTCACTCTTCTTCTAATCTCTTTCACAGTTCAGTGACTAGAAGGTTTGTTGGCCATAACTTTGTTGCCAGAGGTTCTTTATTGGGTTAAGATCAGGACTCTGGGCAAGCCATGTTATTATTTAAATGTTTTCAGTTTCAAGGAATTGCTTTACCCATTTTGCTGTGACGTGGAGCGTTGTACTGCACTGCTGGTTGATTGGGTGATGAATGCAGGGAAGAACCATATGTTGTTGAAGATGGTTCTTATAAATATTTGCATCACTCTGCCATGTAGCCATATAAAAGGCCCAACTCCTGCTGCAGAATACATGCCCCAAACCATGACTCTTCCTCTTCCCAATTTCACTGACTTCTTTCCACACTTTGGGTTCAGCCTTTCTCCAGTTTGTCATCAAACATAATTTTTCCCATCTGAGCCGAATAAATGAAGCATGTTTTCATCTCTGAAGTGAACTTTGGCCCCGTTCTCTGTTCACATAACATGCTCCTGAGCAAAGCTTAATCTACCCTTTTGATTCTTTCTGCTAATGAGAGGTTTGGTTGCTGCAAAGTGGGCTTTCACTCAAAAAGCTCTTAAACATCGAGACACGGTATGATGAGACAGACCATACCCTGTTCAGCCCTGAACTGGTAGGCAATTCCAGCTGTAATGTGGAGACAATTCCAGCTGCAGTGTGGAGATATGTGGAGAGATTTGGAACGACCAACTTGTCTTCCCATGGCTGAGAGGGTCATTCATCTGGACAACCTCCTGCCGGAGGCTTTCAGTCACTTTAGAACGGCCCACCATCTTGTAGAGTCAGTTTAACTAGAAATTAGGCTGCCAGTCAAATGGGGGTTGACAAATAATCATGGAAATTAGTGCCTCACATTATTCAGAATCACATTATTTCAGAAAAAATAAACCTTATTAAGACAAGCATGATCTATTAAATGAATTTGGGCAATAGTTCTCCAGGCCTCTTGAAAGACATACCAAAGCTCTTCTGTGGTTTATTGCCTTTTGTTCTCATCTCGATCAAAAATACACCGTACGGCCTCATTAATGCTGAGGTCCAGGCTGTATGGAATATTTATCCCTCCATCAGACCTGTTCTGTCAGTCCATTTTTTGCGTTATTTTGCTTACCTTTTCTCTCCATTCAATAGCTTCTTTACAGCCACTGTAATTAATTGGTCTGGTGCTTCTTTGTTTTGGCCTTCACACTTCCAGTTAACCTACAATACATTTCATAACATAAATAAGGGCATTTTTATCTTTTAATTCATCATTTATACATAACAGCTATTTGACCAAACAACAAAGAAAGAAAATATTTTCTCTGACTAAAACTGACTAAAAAAGTAGCCAATGTTTTGAAAAACAGTGAAAAGATCTTAAAATTATAGAGTCTAATAAATATCTATCAATCAATTACATTTAAACAAATATGGTTATTGGAAATCAATATATTTGGCACTGGACACTGAATCAATGCTTCGGGATTACCCTCTCCCCATGCCTATTACTCATCTCCTAATCCACTGCATTGACTTCAATACAGGCAGTGAGCTGAATTCAGGGCAGCAAATGAAGGTGTGATGAATCACTCTGGTATCACCTTTTACACTGTGTCTACAGAGGAGCTGAACTGGGACACTGAGCTAGCATTTTTCTTGACATCAGATATGAGCCATGCATTTTGGCTGTAGAACTTGGTTTTTGACATATTAATCTAAATGAGACTTGCACTGATCTGCACAGGACTACAAAATTAGAAAATCAAAACCATCACCACTCCAGCCCTCCTCTCTAATAACGCTTTTCCACTAGGTCTTCTCAGCGTGACACGGCACGGCTATACACTATAATTTTTGCACTTCCACTAGGGGCTGACCCAACTAAATAGTTAGGACTTTACTACCTATTCCATGGGCACCCAGCTCTTGTCCTCAAGGGTTGCTGTCCTCCAGGTTTTAGACGATTCCCTGCTTCAACATGTTTCTGAATAAATATATCGGTTCAAAAGCCTTTTAATAACACAGTGAAGTGAATCCGGTGTTGGAGCCAGGAAACTTCTTAATACTGCTGTAGTCTTATTTGTTTCTAGTTAATATTGGAAGGGGATTATGGTGGCAGATATGATTGCTGCATCTTGGAGTCCAATAGGTAGGTGCTTTTTAGTATGTTTAATTACTTTTCTTGGAAATTGTATGGTGAACTCTACAAGCACAAGGTGTATATTACTGTGCAAACCTAATCAGCAACAGTTTTCAAAGCAGTATTCCTGTAACGGATTACTTCCAACAAGCCAACAACACACCAATAGGGATATCAAGGACAACCAGGTCTCCATTATGTGTTGTCAGCTCCCACAGACAGTGACGATGGAAGCGGGACAGGAAACAGAGACAGGGAAGTTGAGTCAGCTTGTTACGAGGCTCAAGAAGAATCCACACAGACCACTGCTCCCTAGCAGTTTTCTTTGCAAATATAAGATCCATGATGTACAAAATGGATGACCTAAACTACAGATAGCAACCATCAACTTTTCAACAAAACCCACCCATCCCTCCACCTCATCATGAAATTAGCTACATTTGTTGAACAATTTGTCTCAGACACTTTCAACCTGGTGCTCATCAAACAATTTACCTCTTAATACCATAAAACACTAAGGAAATCATAATAGATTTCAGACGAAAACACACTTCCCTTACCCTAATACACCTAAAAGGCGCCTTTGTTGAAAAGGTGGTATTCAATTTTCTTGGGGTTAACATCAAAGATCTCACTTGGTCCACCAACACTAAAGCAGTAACCAAGAAGGCCCAGTAGCGACTACACATACTGAGAATTCTCAGGAAAAACTACCTGAAACAGAAGCTGCTGGTCTCTCTCGTACCGGTCAATCATCAAAGGCATACTCACACAGCTTGGTATGCTTCATGCTCGGCAGAAGACAGGAAGGCACTGCAGAGGGTCATAACCACAGCCCAAAAGACCAAAGGATGCCTTTCTCCCCTCCCTGGAAGAGCTGCTGCCTTTCCAGATCCAGGTCTAACCTGCTTCCCTTGAACAGGCAGTTCAGGTCAACAAATGTCCACCCTACCAGACTTTCCAACAGCTTTTTCGCTTGAGCCATATCCTCACTAAACCAAAACAATATCCCTCTGAAGACATTGGCCACCTACCATCCTCTCACCCTCCCTCCCTCTCATCTGCCATGATCAACTGTATCTCTGGACAATGTTGCATCTCTGGACAATGTTGCATTTGAGCACTTTATCACTATGCACTTATCACAAGGCACTTAACAGTCTGCTGCTGCTATGTTTGCTATGCTACTATACTTGTGTGCAAGAGAGTGTCTTGTTTGATCTGGGAGCGAGGGGGGATTAGCATTCTGTGTGAGGGGTGTAGTCTATGGACTTGGTCGGGAGAGTATGAGTGAGAGAGGCTGCCTTGGTGGGTGAGAGGGTGTGAGAGTGAGAGTATGAATGGGATTTCTTTTTTTTTCAGTTTTAATTTTTATATTTATAATTTTTTATTAGTCTCAAAGCACTGACCCAAATGTGGCAACTCTTATTAAATTGTGTTTGATACTATGTATTTCATGCAATGACCTACTTGGTTGTGTTCACTCAGGTTCGACCAGGGCTGACAACAGACTGCTGGACACTGATTGGCTAAAGTGTCACATGATAAAATAATGACTTTGTCAGGTAAAAAAAACGGGGCAAAAACAAACGACTGATTTAATTATTTCACTGAAGAGTTTCAGTGGCCAATTAGTTGAACAGCTAGGGAGAATTTTCTTAAATCTGCTTTGTTTGGGTCTGTGTTTTGGACAATGTTTGGGATGTAGGAGGACATGCTGTAATAAGGTCAGGCACCCTAACATCTTTGTGTGCTGATACTCACACTGACGTGCACTTAGTCAAACCAGAGAATAAGAGTTGTAGAGTTATTTTCCCAGGGATTTTTCTCTCAGTGTTTTTTCATTGGAACTGGACAATGGATGTTCAATTCTGCTTCATCTGTGCCTTTTCTAAGTCTGTACAGAAGATGTAAATGTACACTTTATTTTGATGGAAAAATTTGCTTAAGAGCATGATTTATATCTGTTGAACCTAAAATTCTAATGATTGCTGATAGCTAAAAAAAATATAGCTGTGTTCCCTTTAGAAAGATTTTGAAGTGTCTCAAAAGCTTTTTGGTGTTGTAAAATGGCTACCCATTTAGTCAAAAAATGCAAGGGGTACATTCATCATGACCATGGCACTTTCCACCAAATCAGCTTAAAAGAAAGGACAATTAATCAATACAACTTTCAACATCCCAGATATGAACTCATTAAACTGTCAATGGAAAAGGAGGCACATTTTTCTAACATAAACGTTATCAGACATAATATTACTCAAATAAAAGTCACAATGTATCTTAATGTAGCTTTAAGTTTGAAAAAATCATAATAATACCCAAAATCAGTGCTATAGGCTCTGGACTGAAGGACATAAAGGAACAACCCGGCTGAACTTGAATCCCCATGGCAGTGACTGGCACGGCAGGCAGCAGCACCACCTGATCCTGGAGCCATGGGGCCTCAACGCTGTAAATCAAGATGCATCCGAGATGCTGAGCTTGTAAGACGGGGAAAAAGAAGAGAATTGCAAGCAGGCAGACAGGAGCGCTGATAACACACACATGGGGGACACACATACCGATCTGAATTTCTTTCAGTGTTCCCACTTGGCTCACGTTAGAGCTCCACGCAACAGACGAACAAGAGGAGATCACAGCACGACTGACATAGCTGTGTACACACTAATTAGGAACACTAGCGTGACCACAATGGGCTTTTTCATGGTCTGCTCGCACAAATCATACACACTCTCATACACAGGCAGTATGGGTATCAGGTCTGGGATCTCTGCCATGTTTGCTATGATACCCTTTTTGATCTGGGGAGAAAAGTTTTCTGCCCCTGATAATACAAAAAAAAAAAGAATTAAAAAAAACAGACAGCATAGTTTTTTGAGAAAGTGGCAATGCTTGTTGGGAACGTTTGACAGTGTGAATAGAGAATGCTGTGTTTTGTTTAGGCTTTGTATGAAGAGGCGTTTTGTTTGCAGGATGACATTTAGACAATGGCTGCAGGACGGGTGGGGTGGGGGCTAACGATAACAGTGGCAGCCATATGAGTGACGTCTGAAGCTTTTGTAAACTTGAATAACGGTGTTTTTTGCAGGTCAAGACCTTCTGACCTCTGCTGACATAAGGGACACGGGGAAAGAGCAACCAATAAAGCCTCAAAGTTGGTTTTCCATTCAAATCTTTGGAATTTGTCATCAATGTCATGTTGATCGTAATCAGGTTTCCCTGTTGATCGTAGACCCATGAGTCTCACTGCTAGCCCCCTGCAGAGACCGAACTGTTTTAGTAATTGAAAGTCTCAACCCTTTCCTTTGAATGTGAGGTTTTGTATTTACACTGAGCATTGTCAAAATTCAACTGAGAACTGTACATTTATTTAAAGACTTCTAAATATAAAATGTAATCACTTAATTGAGTATTTAAACAATGTTAAAAAAAAATGGGATTCTGTTAAAATAGAGACCGTTTGCATCATCAAAGGTCATCTTACACATCTAATTAAACAGGCAATGAGGCAATCTTGTTGATTTAAGCTTTGACTCTTTAAAAGGATTTTTTACTAAGATGTTTTTTTTAAATCAATACAACTCTCTTCTCTTCACCATATTGTCTTGTCCTTTTTGCCTTGTTGATACTACAAAGTACCAATATAGATAGATCTGTAGGCAAGAGGGCATCAGACTATTGGGGGTATTACAATAGTACCTACTCAGTGCAGCTCAGCTGAACTCCACAATTTTATTTTGCATTTCCATTAGTGGGCAGTGTCTCCTGACAGTTACAATTTCAAACAGGATCTGGGCCGGGATACCAAGCAAGCGGGCTGAGTTGGGCAGACAGCAGACTGATGGCCATGTGACTCAATAATGTCCTAGAAGCAACAGACATTGAGAACCCATTTATTCTAAGGACTCTGCAACAAAAAACTTAAAAAAACAAAAAAATGTATTACTTCTGCAATCATCTATGTTATAAATGCCTAATATATTATCGCTGCAATGTCCTTCATTGTTGTCTCGTGCTTGTGTTGTGTACGACTTACCTCACAACCTGTCACTATTTTCTTTGTCTACTGGATTTCCAGGGACATTTCTAACACAGATTCTTTAAAATTCTGCAAAGCAATCTGTTTGATCATATAGCTTCTGCAACTGGTTTCAGTAGTTGTCATGGTTAGTTGTTAATCTGCCATATTTCATCCATGTAAAGTTAAAGTTTTATCCGGTTATATAAATGAGGTGCTTCCTGAGAAATGCAACACAGACTGCGTGTCTGATTTCACTCTTCCGGATCAAGTCCTGAAAGTTTTGGGGAAACAATGGTAATATTTAGTAGGGTAGGAGCACTATAGAAGACGGATTAAAGCGTTGTCCAACATTTAAAAATTTTACCAAGAAATCTGGTGTGAAACAAAGCTTTATGAACTTGCCTTAGATTTTTACCTCAAGCCAAATATCACTGACTGTTCAAGAATGAATAGTAGAAAAAAATATAAAGTTCTGGTAAAGCTATTATTATCTCAATTCCCAGTAATAAAAATTGTTTCTCCAGCTACACTTACAGAGAGTAATCTCGCATTTGGCAAATGATCACACAGAAACACTACAAGACCTGTCTGACCCACCAGAGCAAACATCATTCACACCAACTGAGATTTGAGACCAGCATATGCACAGGAGTCTTTCTCTGGCTGTGAGTGTCGAGTGACTTCCCGATGGCTGTTCTCAGCCTTATCTTAGCGCCAGAGCCCGATCACAGCGATAAAAAACACACCGGGGTCATTACACACATGTGGGCAAAGATGCGGGTCAAATCAGTTTTGTCGAGTCATGGTTATTCACCACAGGTGTCGATACCACCACTGATATCAGCAAACCAACGTCGCAGGGGTTTACGGGATCAACTAAAGAGGCCTGAGCTGTGTGTGAGGCAGAGGAACATATGAGATCAGGCTGTGATTTGGCGCACATTGTAGGACCTCAGAAACTCTCTGCTGAGAGCCTTAAAAAAGACACATTTAAGATAAGATAAAAATCAGCCAAATCTTGGCTGGATTTGTTCTGCTCTGTTCTCCACAAGTGGTGCTCCACCTGTGACCCTCTCGTTCTTTAGCTCAGACCTACCATCTGGTTCACTTGTTTGGGGGGGGGTGACATATAAATCATCAAACTCAACATTAGTAAAAAACAAAATAAATATCAAAGCACAGCACAATTAATCTTGTGAGGAATGTAACCAGCCTTCTTCCATCTGCATAATTTCTTTCTAACACCTTCCTCCCTACATGGACCAAAGTCAAAGTTGATAACGAGTACATGGGGGAATCATTTTGTGCGTTTTTATCTCCCTGATTTAAACATCTCATCAAGTCATCAAGATGGTCTTACATTTCCTCCAGAAATAGCCACTTTCCATGGATAGTGAACAGAAAAAACAGTTGTCTCCGTTAGCCCCTGCTTTTGCTCTGGAAGATTTCCAAATCATCAGCTGTTCAAGGGATGTGGCTGAAGGGAATCACATGTTTGGCCTGGCAAGAAAAATCTCTTTCAGATGAGATGGAAAAAATTGAAAAATGAAAAAATGTGCGTACAAATGAGTGACTGTTGTTACTGGTCACCGTCTAGCCAAACTCTGACTCCCTGCTCTGCAAGCTCCAACCAGCTTCAAGAGCTTAAAGAGAAACAGATTTTTAAGTGACCCTTCGCTGAGTGTAAAATATTGGGTGTGGATAGGGCAAGGCGGTACGGCTGGAAAACCAAGATAGCAAGCGAGAAAAAGGGTTTTATTTTGGCATTAGTGTTCCCATCAATTTTATCTTGGGGTCTCTAAATGGTCCATTAAGGCAAAGCGAGCGGAGCACCGACAGAGGGCAACCTGACATCCATCACCTCTGTTGCTTCAGCTCACACTTAAAAGAAAGCTTCTTAAAGAAAGTTAGTGAGGTTGTGTGTGTTGGTGTGGGCACAAACAAAAGAGGGTGCTCTTTTGTCTACAATCCTATCAGTGTCACAAAGGTCACGCTTCTTCAAGATAACCCTCCAAGATTGCTGTGGGCTCCAGACAATTTCTTTCCTCTCGTTTCCTTTTGTGATTAGGTGTCAGCAGAATTTCCTTGGTGTGCAGATGACTGCTTTCATGTCAGAGGTTTCTCATGGTCTTGCTGCCTCTCAAGCTTTCCATTCAAATGCCATGCAAAGGGGTTCCAACGCAAGGTACACAGTTTTGGTTTGTAGTCTGGTCTTACAATCAAGAATGAATATTTACCTGAACACAATGGTATTCACCTCCTCCACTCCCTGATGCTGTTTGGCAGTATGGAGAAGGTCAGCAGAGCTTAAGTGTTTTTTTTCATAAGCAGTCACTACTTTCAAAAAGCTTAAAGTCCTCAGCTTCAATAAACTGCAGAAAAAGTTTTGGTCAAACCTGAATCATACTCTTAAGACCTCAAGACCTTGTTATTAAAAACAATATATAATCAAATTCTTGCAGCGAGAAATGACGCTCACAAATGTTGAGTTTACACACATGTGGCAGGTCAGTTACCGGAAAACCACTGGAAACAGGATTTGTTCCGAAACTACCCCTTAGATAAACTGCGGGTTGCAAGGAATTTTATCTTTTAAATAAACTTGACATTTATGCTATCAGATATCCAGAAAACACCAACAGTACTGTGTGGGATTTTCTATTCTTTTATGTTGGTCTTGACTTGAGGGGACTTGATGCTGAGATTTGCAAACTGGCATCCATGCTATAGCATCAGGCATGATTGTTTCTGAGTGGCTGACATTTGTATTGGATATTGAAACTGTAAATTGAATAAATAGCTATCTCAGTATTGGGTATTTCATACTTATTCTTATCGTAGTTGCATCGATTTTAATATGATTTAGATTCTTTAGGTTTTTAGCAATGGTTTATGTGGAGCTTTATGCATATGAATAGGAGATACACAAAAATGCCAGGTGTCATCGTAACTGACATAGAGGAGAAAATTCATTAAAAAAGGACATATTCAACTTTAACTTTTTTGCATCTCTGCTGAGTTATTTCCAAATAATTCAAATCTATTCCATTGTCATTTGTTTAAGCATTTCGGAGAAAAAGTCTAAATTGCAACAAAAGATCTCTCAAAGTGGGCGGCACGGGGGTGTGGTGGTTAGCACAGTTGCAGCAAGAAGGTTCTGGGTTCGAGTCCCGGGTGACCCAGTACCTTTCTGTGTGGAGTTTGCATGTTCTCCCTGTGTCTGTGTGGGTACTCTCCCACAGTCCAAAAACCTGCATGTTAGGTTGATTGGACATTCCAAATCGCCCTTAGGAGTGAGTGTGAGTGTGCATGGTTGTTTGTCCTTGTATGTCTTGTGTGTGACCCTGCAATGGACTGGCAGACTGTCCAGGGTGTACCCCGCCTCTCGCCCATTGACCACTGGGATAGGCTCCAGTTCTCACTGCGACCCCATTAAGGAAGAAGCGGTAACGATAATTGATGGGTGGATGGATCTCTCAAAGTCAAGACTTCTCAGTTGTGGCTCAATTGTACATAAAAATACATGTTAAAACAATTGAAAATGGGAGTTCACTTCAGTTGGATTTCTCACCATTTCCATAAACTAAATGCTCAACATGCCACTGATTTGCCGCAAGTACCCAAAATTTCATACGTTTCAGAGCGTTTATCCTTCATAATGCTTGCCTTAAAATTTCTATCTGGAGGACTTATTTAGAGTTATTAATTGCATTTATGTGTGTACTTTACTTTCTGATTAGTTCTAAACCTTCTCACTAGTATCTATGGCAACACCAGGGTGGACCATTATTGTTTTTTAATGCAGTTCTGTTCAGGGTTTGAATACAGCCAATTCCACAGCAGCAGTTGCATTCTCTTGAATGTAAATGTGAATGTGATTTACCATGGGAACTTCACCACATTCCTCTTGTTTTGTATGACTGTGAAAAGAGCAGGACTTGTGCCAGCTGACGGGAAAGGAGAGGTCTAACATCCAAGAATCTGCAGCACAGAAACTAAGTTGAGAACGGCGTTTAAATCTTGGCTTTTTTTGGAGAGTAACGTGCAAATCATTCACAGACGTGTAAAGACACAAATGCTCAGCACCTCTAAAGCTACTGTTTTCTGCTCAAAAAGTTATCTTGTTTTATGCCAGGATGCTCAAACGGGTATCTTCTGAGTTAACAAAAAAAACAAAAGGACAGTGGAGAAACACAATGAGGTGTCCCATAAATGAACACTGGGCTGTCGGCCAAGTAGGTGTGTGTGTGTGTGAGCTTGTCTAATACAGGAAAAATAGGGTTATAGTGGTAGACAGCAAATGAAAAACCACACAGTCATCAAAGCCCTAATGCAAACTTTACGAAGAAATGTCAGGAGAACAAGTAGCAAACAGAATGGAGAAAGGAACAAGTGAATGAGACTGTCCGTACAGACTTCTACAGACACAGCAAACACAGCAGAGACAAGCACATAGCTTGACTGAAGTATTATTTGAAAGCTGTGCTGAATGTGAACATATATTTTAACATTTCCCTAAATACCAAAGCAATGTGCAATGCTGAGACACATTAGTCTTCTTGTAATTAAGAGAATAGGTTTAAGGAAAAAAAACAATCACATAATACAGACCATTTACAGCAAAACCTGGTAATGGAGGTTTTTTAACAGGGGTAAAATTGGTCCCACAGTAGGACACCCATTTTTTCTTGCTTCATGCCATAACGCACTCCGAAGAACAGAGCAAGGAAACTGGATGTGTGTAGAAAAAGTATATTTTACTGAAGCTCCTGTAATCTGACATACACGTTTCTAGGTTGCGATAATTAAAAAAAATGTTAAGGATAAATATTTACCTGTGTAGATTCTTTATATATATTTGATATAAAACATATAGTTGACTAGGATTTATATAGAGAATAAAAAAAATATTCCCGGCACTAGCTCTGCACTTAACTGTTCATTTCAGTATGTTAAAACCTGAGCAAAGGGATCTCCTTGTGATTACTTTATCCACAAGGATGAAGCCATTATAGGGGACACTTTTGTGAAACTCTAAATGTGTTCATAAACATGGGCAATGTACAATTTGACATTTTAACATCCTCAATTGTATACAATATTTACAGACAAGTGATTTGGATATGTGACATTGGATAAGATGTCACTTATCAAAATATCACTGGCTCTCACCCATCTTGTAAAAAGCCTCAGTGTTCTTGGCCCAGCCTAGTTTGTTGTTCGGGTGTTCTCCAAAGTATTTGTAATGCAGGACCACTTTCCCAGTCTCCCTATTGACGAAAATGAGTGTTGGGGCAGATTTCCTCCCGCTAAAATCCACCACTTGCTCTTTTGTCTTGGTGGTATTAAGATTCAGATGGTTAGTCTCACACCATCCAACAAAGAAATCCACAACACTCCCGTACACCTCCTCCTTTCTCCTCAATGACACAGCCAACAATTGCTTCTGCAGGTGGCAAGAATCAAAGTAGAACTGAAAGCAGATGTGTACAGGTTGAATAGAAAAGGCAAAAGACCAATTGCCCGCGGGGTCACTGTGCTGCTGACCACAATGTCAAACACACAGTCCTGCAATCTGATATAATGTGGTCGACCCATCAGATAGTCTGTAACCAGGAAACCAGGCTTGGGTCCACCTGCATCGTCGTCATCTTATTCCACAGCAGAGCAGTTCGGCTGGCGTTGAATGCACTAGAGAAGTGGATAACAAGCTTCTCATTGTGATTCCCAGATTGTCCAGATGGCGTCACGCGCGATGGAACAGTAATATGATCGCATATTTTAGGGCTTTAATCAGCTGGGACATCAGTGCCACCAGTTTTCTAGTCGTTGGAGGTGCTGGGGTAGACATTCTTTGGTAGTGGAAGCAAGCAGGGCATTTTCCACATAACCGGACCCTCTGTCGCAGGACTCCACTCAGCTGGGCAGCACACGTTTTGAGGACTGACACCATCGGGACCCACTGCCTCGCCTCTGCAGAGTCAGCTCCCTCCTCACCTGCTCTGGTGTGAAGGTCTGCATGCCATATATCTTGTTGAGGGTGTGGGAGATGATGGCAGGGGAGAGAGGTAGGGCAGGGTCAGGAGGTGACCATGTGGGAGCGGGGATAGCAGGGCTGGAGATCTGATAATGGTTGTGGAGGCGCTTGGGAATGGGTAGTCCAGGGCACCCTCCTTAAAACTATTTTTTTTTAAATCATGCTTGTTGGCTTGGTCAGTACCATCGCTACCAGATTGTTCATAGCCAGTGATAGTCCTCATGCCTATCCACATATCTTTCAAGTCGTTCCACAGTTATGTTTGAGTCTGGGATGTCCTCATGAAGCAATGTCTCATTGAATGTCTCATTGAAACACATTACTATTCTCTCGCAATACTCCAAATGAGCCCTCACCAGACCAAGTGGCTCATCCATTTTGTTAATTAGCAACCTCAGGTTCCCCATGATGATAGAAAGGAGATAAGGTTTATATCTCTGCTTGTTCTTCTGCTTTTTACGTCCAGCCTTACATCCCCAGTACTTCCTCCTTATTTCTCTGGATACTTCGGTTCTCTTCAGGACCAATGCGGGCATCAATCGAAGAGACACCAATCGTAGAGACATCAGAGGATCCCAAGTATAAACAACTGCCACGCCACAATGCTGCCACAGGTTGAGCCATACACACAAAAGACATGAGGCTAAGTTTGGCACAGCCAGTTACTAAAAAAAACAATAAATAGGAAAAAAAAGACAAAGTGTGGAAAGGGGAGAGGGTATCTGTTGCTGTTAGGGTTATGGTTAATTTTGAATTATCTAGCAAAAATCTTGTTTAACCCTATAATACCAAATGTCTTGTATTTGATACATACAGTTTCTGAAATGTTTTGCGTCTGACACCTTTTGCATAATTTAATGGTAAAAACTTTGCTCAAAATCCTATTGTACACAATCAAATATACCTGATAACAGGGGGCAGGAGACTACACAAAAAACAATCTTGAAAATTATTAATATAAAAAATTTATTTTTATTTTTTCTTTTTACATATTTTGTTAAAAGGCCAAATAAAGAATAAAAAAAAAAGTAATTTTCTGTTTTGTTGTATTCTTGGACCAGGTTAAAGGGTTAAAGTGAAGGTTGTATACACTTTTTTTTTTACAATTAGTTTCTTCATTTTTTGTGAATATTAAAAAGTTTTATATTTTATAATCAATAAATGTATGTTAAATGTATAGGATCAGAGCCATATGTTGGAAACTGAAAAATTAAGGCACTGACAAAACACGCAGTTAAACTGCTGCATCGTGTTTCTTTCCTTCTTTAGGTTTTCCTTACATTCTGTTAGTGCATGGAAACTTTAGGCCAAGGCCAAATACCCAAGGGGAGTGACACTGGGCCTCAACAATGCTTCTTAGCACATGAAGCAGCTTCTTTTTGGCTCCTGGCTCATTCTCACCACACGCGCAAACATGCTTCCTGTTCCACCAAGACACAAAATAGACCGAATAAACATGCCGAGCTGGTGAGGAACTGTGAATAAATTGTAGGGGTATGCTTAGATGTGCAGATATCTAGGCTAAGCAGGCAAGGTTGGCAGTCCACGGGTACACACACATTCACATTTTCGGCAGAGTAAAGTGTCAGAGCCTGTTAGAGGCCTTTGGCTGGACACAGCTCCAATACAAGCTGGACAAAAATGTTGCCTGTCTCTCCACATTAAGTGATTTAAGATCCTGTGTTCACCCTTCTCCTTTCATCGTTGTCCAAAGTGAACACATTTAAAAAGCCCTACAAGAATGCCAGGGCCCGCTGACATGAATGGGGTGAAGAGGGGAAAGAAAGCCAAGTTAAAGGCGGAGAACCAGGGTTTAAAGCTCAGGTACGCTAGCCATGCCTCTTAGCCTTTGAGCAAATGGAGGGGGGAAATCTAGCTTGAATAAACCAGGGAACAATTACTGGGTGTGAAATGCCAGACCTTTAATCCAATAATAGTTCTTCCTTTACAGAAGACACAACATTTTTCCCATGAAGGTTTAGTTTAACGGAAACATGTCTTTTCCTTTTCACACTCTTGGCTAAAAACGCAGTGCTAGCTGAGAGACAGTGGGAGACGATGGAAAGATGGAGGACCTGGATAGAACATCAGTGTCCAAAATCAACCTTGTGCTCTCCTTTAGTTGTGTTATGTCAGAATTGTGAGGTGACTATCATATAACCCTCCAGGATTTGTGATGAAAACTATATTCCTGACTGTGATCTAGTCTGGATGTGCTAATGTGTGGATGTAGAAAAATTTGAAGAGAAAGTCCTGAGGGGTAGTGCACCTAATCTTCTTGCTATTTCAGTATATCATTATGCCCTGAAAGAAGAGAGAAACCTTAGTTTCCTCTAAATTGAAAAATATATACTGGTAAGCTATCACAAGATGGCTGGGTCACAACAAATAAACCAGATATATGTAATTACAACACTTAAAATTAAAGAGCCAACAAATCACAGAGGTGCACATGCTGAGTAACATACTTCCATCTGTAGGAATTTATTTCTCCATCAAAAAATTATAATCCTAAATCATCTTAAGTTTTGGTTGTTTTGTAAATCTAACAGAACAAAGTTAAATTGGCTTTCATTGGAGGGACGGCTCATACGGGAAGGAGGAAGGAAAAGGAGGCACATTTACGGGCAGTTGAAAAATATAAATATCATACTTACCTTTTTAAAACAGCAACATTTCATAATAAAAACAGTTGCCAATAATATCTCTATCTTCTATGTACTTTTTTTTATCAATAGACCAAAAATGTGTTTTTGCAAAATTGTCTTTCAACCAAACAATTTTTGTGAACACAGATATCTTGAAAATCTATAAACATAAGCAATCTAAAGATCTAAATTCCGAGAAAAAAATTGTTAAGGAAAGTTGGGAAATAAAAATTATCCAGGGATAATTTTTTATAGATTTTTGTATTTTTGTATTTTTATTTCCAAACTTGTCAAATCTCTTGATGACTGAGACATTGAACTTTTCTTTCAGTTAGACTCAACTTTTCAAAAAAATATTTTATTTAAATTTTTGTAGAATTAATTTAACAGTTGAGTGAGTTTATTGAGACCTTATTTGCAGAAAACTTTTTTTGCATGTTAACAAACTAATAATTTTATCTTGTGTGTATTTTCCGTTGTTTCATTAGAACAAAAAAGAAATCAATATGTTGATGACAAAAAAAGTGCTTAATTGAAGAGATGGTGTGCTTTGATGTGGATAGCAGAAAATGTCCTTTTTAGATTAGCTATTTACATTTGGAGAAAGGATGGTTTGAGGAGCCAAAGTCCAATTAGTGGTATATAATGTGGGATACAAACATTTGTTTACAAGAGGCTTATTTTTTTTCTCCAGTTCCTTACCACATGAATAAAGGGACACCCCGGGCACTCTTCAAGAGTGGGTGTGGTTACAACACGCAAACCTCAGGGCCTTTTGACATTACACTGCTTAACCATGAGGTCAGAGGAAGGCTCTTTCTTTCTTGACACAAAGGAGTGATTTTTCACTTGCCCTGTGAGAACAGCAGCAAATAATGAACTCTTGGGTCCCTGGTACTATGTCTGGTTTCACACGCGTCAACTCCATTCTTGAGTGTAACAAAAGGGCAGAAGGAGAAACATTTGTGGAGAGGGAAGAGTGAGCAAAGGACATTTCATGCTGGATGAATCTGATGCATTTTAATGGAAATGATGCATTTATAATTGTTTCTTTGAATCAAGATGCAGAGTAGACAATTTACATATACACACAAATACATATACATATACACACACACATGAACAAATATCAATCTAATTTTTAGCGATTTATTTGTTGATGTTGAAGCATCACTTTTCAGATCAGATATTATAAATAAATATGAATATGTGTGTGTGTGTGTTATATGAAACCCTAAAGAGGAAAACAGACCTACCAACTGGGGCTTACGCTCCGAAATGAGCTCCCCCCCACCCCAAACATGGAAATTATTGTTGAATCCATTTGAACAGTCTTCAAACAAATGTATGCAATGTAATTTTGGTCCAGATTGAAATCTCTTTACTATTTACTGTTTTCAAATAAATGGAAATCACAAGTGTTTCGAAAAGCAGTTGCTGCATAGCTACACCATGTCTCCCACTAACACGCTGGGTTGCTGGGCAAAATTTAGAATGAGCCACAGGACTGGCTTGGTGGATGGTAAATGTGTGTGACGTGTTAGCGGGTGTGTTTTTATACCCCCCTTGTGTATCGCGTGTCTGGATCTCAGCAGCACTACTTCTGGAGAGACCACGTGACCCAAGGAGCAGACACAGGACCTCAACATTAGCACAAGATGGTCTACTTTTCTTTCTCTTTCCTCTTACACTCAGATTACAAAACTCAAAAAGGGAAACTGAAGGAAGGTGACATAGAAAACCAGCAGCAGTGACACATTGCAGCTTTATGGCAACGAAGCTACAAAAACAATAGCTAGACTTTTAAAAAAATTCAACAAAAAACTGAAATATTTCTCTTACCCCTTAATAAAATAGAAACATTCACATGCAAGAGTACAAGCATGTAGATTTTTAAAATTATGCTAACACAAATATGGCTGTAAAAGAGTAAGAGAGTTTTTTAATTGATTTTTGTAATGTTTTTTATTTCTAAATATCTAAATATTTATAAAATAAATAGAAATGTACTTACATTGAAAGTAACTAAATGCAGAAAAATGTATCCATTACATACAAACCTAAGGATTATATTTAAATATTATTCAAAAGAAGGATATTTCTATACTCTCAGCTTTTAAAAATATAGAAATATGCTGTATATTAAGTGTGCTATAATATCATACATCAAATTAACTTAGAATTTGATGACAGATCATTAACAAATTCCATTTGATGGTAAAAAAAAATCACTTAGGGATATATACCTTAATTTTAATTAATTGATTGTTAAAAAGTGAAATAATGCTCAATTGCATATAGATGTTTTGCTACACTGTCAACGATTGAAAAAAAAAGTTTAGAATTTTTCAAAAGATCCTACTAGGAATTGCACTGGAAGTTTTTTAAAGTCTAATAAGGGTAATAAAGATTTGTGAACTTTTGGTGACCAGGATTTTCTTCTTACAAAAATCCACATAATGTAATAGTCACCTCCATCCAGAGACGGAAACTTGAGCACTGAGCCATAAAAGTTCTTGCTGGAAACCTAAGCAGCTCGCACACTCAGGGAAACAAATAAAACATCTTTATGAGCAGGATTTTATTATCTTTACAGACACACTCCCGGTCCAGCAGCCTCTATGTGGCCCACTCGGACAAGTCTGCAAAGCTGTGCACACACACAGCAATTATTATACTATTATACCTACTACCTTGACATATATTTTGTTATTATTCTATTTTGTTATTCAAATTATTCTGCAGTGCTGGGATACCAGGTTAAATTCCTGTGCACGTTGTGCATTTGGCCAGTAAAGCAAATTCTGATTCTGAAAAGAAAAAAATTATTGCGCTGGCCAGCCTGGTATTAAAAATAAAGACTTTTGTCTGCCTGTGAAATTAAAATAAATTCCCACTAACTGTGACCAGCTTTTCATTGTAAAAGAAAATAAACATGAGAAATAGTATTACTGTGGTCTCCATAAAAGGTGATTAAACTAATAGAAAAAGAAAAAATCTTATTTTGTTTTTTTTGTTGCTATTTTTGCACAACAAAGTATGAATTATTAAACTGAAATAATCTCCGTATTTTCTATTTTTGTTTAATTATAAAAAAACATATTTTGTTTAAACAGAGAAAAGTATAAATAAAGATAAATTATTTCACCAATGATGAAGAAAGTTTAATTTTTTTACAGCCTTATTGTTTTATTTCCTTCATTTCTTAGCTTCATAAAATTCCTTACTAAATGTAATGTAATTGGAATTAGTTATTTAACTCTATCCATATTGGGTAACCCTATGATTTGAAGTTCTGTTTTTGCTTTCTATCTTGAAATCTGACTGCAGTAAAGCAGTTAAGTTGTTACGCATTAATGTTCAAGGAAAAATCTAAATAAGGTAGTTTCATAATCAAACAGTGTAACAGAAACCACAAACTAACTAAACTAAACTTTGCAAATAACCTCAATAATCAATATTTTTTTTTAAGTTCTCCTTTTGTGGCTTGTCATCAACCTAGACCCAGAGGCGGGAGACCTATCTGTTTCCTTTTTTATTTTTTTTTATTTCTTCCCTTTGAGTTAGTTGGTTTCTTTGAATCAAGGAGGCACTTTATTTGTAACCATGTCCCATTTTGTTACACCACCACACAGGCTTGTTGAGGCATACATTTATCTTTGTAGGTGCTCATGATATCCACCCTGTTAATATGACCATGCAAAACTCTACATCAATCATGCAAAACAAAAGCTTGCAAAGCCTTCTAAGGTCACAAATAAAGCAAAGTGATTCATATATAATATGCTAACGATCTCATTTTAAAAAGACACAGATTTAATTCAGAGATTTAATACCAGGTTACAGCAGCTGGAAAAGACAGCACCCACAATCTCTGGTCTGATGACTAGAACATAGTACTCTGCTCAAGCGGAGGCATTTTATTGGTAGGCAATCGAAGAGCTGTGATTGGCTGAGGCAGTGACAACTCAGCTCTGGGACCTGTTACGCCAGATGCCCTCCTCTCGTCCCCTGCAATGTTTGCAACCCCACGCACGCGATCCCTCGCTCTGCTTGGCTGCACCCTCTCATCGCATTACTTCTGCTATTCTAACTCCTCTATCAATTATGCACTAGAATAACTAAGGGCCCTGATGGAGGCAAGACATAAAAGGGGATCATCGGTGCGAGCAGCGTCTGTCCTCGGGTTCCCACTGCGCTGTTGATGCGACCGATGACATGAGCATCCAGGTACCAACTCATACAGGGCACCAGCGGTGGCATATGCAAACGGATGGCCATCAATGTGTTAGTAGGTCAATCAGAAAAAGAAACGGATCTAACCGAAAAAAGGAAATTCAACACATAATAAAATCGTTATTTTGGAAGAATCACTATGTATCCAAGAACGATCAACAACAATAATAGGTGTTTCGTCATTTAACTTGTCAGATGGTAACTGGTCTTTGATTGTAGTTTATGTTGTGGATAGAAAGTTGGAAGAGCCCAAAAATATGAATGTCTTGTCTGTAGTTTTTTTTTTTTACTCGTTTAAAAAAAAGTGCTTTAGTTCCTTCTTTCCCAAATTCAGCCTTCAAAAGCCACACGAAAATTCAAAAAAGCTAATTTCACCATTTTTGTGTTTTCTAAATTCCTCTACAAGTGGCGTAGACAAAGTTTTTCATTGATACAAACATAGAATGCAGAGACAATACCCATTTTCAGCCCTTGTAAGAAGAGTTAATCGAGAAATACAACCTGTGTAACTAAAAAAAGGAAACAAAAAAACACAACATGTAGAAATAACTTCACCAAAGAGACTTAAAACAGCAGCCGATCAGAAAGGATAACAAACTGCTCATGTGAAATCCCAGGATTGATAACCCAATTTCACTATATAAGACAAGATGGAGTCAAGTGTGAGAAAATGGCTGCCTGCCTTTGCTGTTCCTCCACATGTGGAAGAAAAAAGCCCAAGCCAGGAAAAAACTTTTAAAAAACATTCAGATCTCCACATCTCAGTAATCTGAGATTTCAATTGATGTCGGAGCTTAAGCAGCGCAATGACAAAAACACAAAATAACTATTTCACCCCTGTCATTCATCGCCGAAAGTACCAAGGACCCGGATGATTTGCGAAAGAAAAAAAGAAAAAAAAAATACACCATGTCGATCTGTGTATTAAATCTATGGCGGTCCTGACCTGGATTTCTCCTGGTTGCGTGTGAAGGTTTGTCCAGGCTCTATCATGAGATCACAAACAGCTTTTTTAATATTTCATTGCTCCCACAGCACCAAGTGTTGAAAAATCCTACAGGAGGAAACACTTTCAGTTTCAACAGGCCGAAGATCCACATGTAAGGTCCCACAAAATCATGCTAAGTGGGTAAAGTATGTCTGTTGTTGCAATGCTTTTCACCGCAGTAGATTAACAATGCTTACTCAAGTTGAAACTTCTGCTCTGTTGTGGTATAAAAACCCCATTCTCTTGGCCACCTTCAGATAAGCCTTCACACCTTCATACCCCAGTGATTGCACGAGGCACTTAAAAACAAAAACAATCAAACAGCAACAGTATCTCTCCTAGATATATATTCTGCATCATCAGACGAGGTGTTTTGTTTGTGACTTAAGCTAATAAAACGTTGTATATCCTGCTAAGAGGGCCCCGTCACTCTCTGAATAGCACAGCTTACAGAATTGACTAGAAAAGTAATGTGCTCGTACATTGGCTTTCTGTCATTTCTTCCAACATACATAAGAAGTTGAAAGTCAACAGACGCTGAAAATGTGGAAATATTGTCCTTGCGAGGAGGTCCACATACTTCTTGTTTCAGTCCTCTTTCCAAAACTGTACTGACCCAGATATAGTTCCACAAGTTAGGCCTCTGCTGTCAAAGCGATCATGTTTGCTTTTTCATCGCAAATTTAAATTTCAACCATAATTTTGCACATATGAACCTGCCGATATACCAGCTTTCTCAATACCTGTATCTGTTTGAAAGAGGAGGGAGCAGCAGAGACTTCTGTGTCAGTATGCACTCACAATAATAAGACTACAGACATGAATTAAAGGTTAAGGAAGAAAGATATTAAATCAGATGATTTCTCATTCTTAAATTAGGCTCGGATCAATTGGAATTAACTTTCATCCTCAGTTCAGATTCAACTCATCCACTACCTTTGCAAATGGAACTACATTTTCTGTTAAAATAATAGCATTATCTGTTTTGATGTACTGAATGGTTAAATGTATGAATATGGTGTTTTTTTTTGTTCTTTTCTGTAAATATAATGGCGAAAGGATACCAGGGTGGATAAGCCCCCTTCCTGTTATCTTTGATTCTTGGTGATGCCCTGCAAACAGCATCAGCTGCGCCAGGTCTTTTAGCAGCTTAGTGGCTCTTTAGCCCCTTTTTGGAAGCACTTTTCAGAAGCTTTACTGCAGTCATTAGAGGTTAGGGCTGATTAATATGAATGGTCAGGCAGGCCCTGCCATTCTAAGTGTCTAACAGAAAGGGGTGAGGGGTCCCACAGGAAGTTTTTTGTGTCTCCGCACAAAAGGAGGGTTGACCTCTTAAGCCCTTTAGAGCCTTATTGCTAATACCCTCCCAGGTACCTACAAAGACACAGAGGATGCCATTTCACCACTCACATTTAGCAGCATGCACACAAAATGCCAAAAGTCCCTTGCTCACACACTGGCCACTGGGCATGTCATACAGAAGGAGAAAAAACTCAGCAGTATTGCATCTAAGATAGAATTGGTCTCATCAAAGGACTCTACAAGATTTCTTGGTCCAGTTTCCTGCATGGAAACTGGATAATGATAAAATAATGGTCCTACCTCAATCTTTTCCAAAGAAAAAACCTTCTTCCAAACACGGTGTCCAACCATTCAGTCTGATTACAGTTCTGTTCGAACTGTTCTACAAAATGCTCCATTAAATTTCTTTTACCTGTCAAAATTTTCTCAGCACCAACCTACTATTTCTGACTTTTTAGATGTGATGTGACCATCAAAGGTTAGAGTTTCTGATTTAGAATAGGTCAAGGCGCTTTACATGGGGTAAAGCCAGTAAATTCCAATTAAGCACACACAGTAAATTGGATACTTCTTCTCAAAATATAAATCTACAATATAAAACAGTGAACAGTAAACACATTAAGAAATATGTGAATAGCCAAACAATTGTATAAGTAATGATTAGACATGATCCTTCTACACAACGCTGTCCTAAAAAAGGTTTCGCCACTGATAATTAGGTTTTTCTATGTCAGAGCCAATTACCCACTCTGCTTTCATGCTTTCCAAGAGATGAGCTGTGGCTTCCTCACATTAGATGAGAATATAATCATTTTCAAGTTTCCCGTCACCATTTCAACTCAAAGCTGTACATTTGCTAGCTTGCTAAAAAGATTTGTGGTATAAAAAAATATTTTTTGAAAAAACTAAAACATAAAAACAAACTTTATGACCAGAAAATATATTTGCAGGGATCAAACGGAGACCACAGAATGTCCTAACGTGAAATTTAATGAGTTTTGACATAAAAAAAAAAAAGTCTATCATCACTCACTGTTCAAACGCACTTAAATGTCAAGTATCTCCAATACTTTCAAAGGACTGAAGAACACTTTTAGAGGAGCAATCAATGTTACCTGAAGAGAGTAACAAAGCAAATAATGTTACATTTTGCATGTCTTAGAGGGCTTAACAGTTTCAAGAAAGATCTTGAAAAACACATTTTTATCTAAAGTCAACTATTTGCTCTAATGTTTTATTTTATTTAAAATTTTAAAGCTTTTTCTGTACCTTTTTTCATCCATTCATCAAATTCGACATATTTTATTTTCAGAACATATAAATTTATTCGAATACATTTTTGTACCTCAAGTCAAATCATGGCAAGAAACAGGAATAATACTGAAATGTTTGATTGCAGCATATTTTCAGTTTAAGTATCATCTTAACAATGTTTAATTCCTGTACTATTTGCCAGAGATTTGGCTTCTGTTACATTATCTACTTAAGCTTTTCATGTTTGTTTTTCTTACCCTCAATACACAGGGCAAAATAGCAGAACAGTGTACCTATATCCTTATCCTTATCTCTTTTAAAACTCTTCTCTCATTCAAAAGATTTGCAATTTGATCTCTTCACTCGGCCTTCCCAAAAGCTAAATTTCATCTTTTTTATTTATTATAAATCTCATGAATTACATTTTCGCCCCGCGTTCTTGAAATGCATCTTGTCTCCTATTTTTTTTTACATTTCATTTCAAATTTTAAAAAGAACTGAACTAGTTTCAATTTTATAAAGGCATGACAGGACGGAAACGATGCATAATCAGTTTGACTTAATTGGATTAAAACTGTTTTACAATTAATGGTGCTATATATTTTATCTTGAATCTAATAATAGTAATAGTACCTTTCAAAGCCAGAACTGTCAAACAAATTTAAAATATGTACATTTTTCTAAGTATAATTATTACAGAAAATAATCAACCAATTCCCTCAGAGGAAGTGTGGTACATTCACTGTGACGTGACACAAATGTTGCTGTAGACCACTGAACTTCTTAGCAGCGTCTCATCATTGGTTTGTGTGAATCACACCCTGGAAGCCTGTGGCCCAGGGTTTGTTATTCATTGCATGAGGGGAGGGCTGAGGCAGCTCCTCTCTGCAGGCGGGCTCAAAGAGAACATAAGGAGTGACAGGGCTCACTGCATGGTGTCTGACTCCTCCCTCTTTTGCAAATAGCTAAGTATGAAATCTATAGCATGAATTAACCAAAATTGTATTTTACCTAAGTACATTATGGAAGGTACCGCTGGTTTAAGTACACACAGTGGGTGTGGCGGTACTGAGAAAAGAGAATATGGTAGATTCACTATCTATGATCTGGCTTTTTATTTGCTGGGTGCCTGAAGTGCTGTGAGGCTTATTGTTATTGCACTTTCTAATAAAATGGAAGGTAACCTCCGATAAGCAGCCTCTCATGCTCTGTTTATTGATAGTTTCCGAAGCCCTTGGTGCAGGAAATCACATTCACTCAGCTCTCTTTGATGCTTCTGGAGATTGACACTTTCTCAGCGTGGAAAAACTCTTTCAGACCCCTCCCCAGGACTCCATGGCCAGTTCCCCCTGTCTTAGCCTCTGGCCTCTTCAATGGAGCGTTCCCATACTCATGTATCCATACTGACCCTCCTGTTTCAATGCCCCTGTCCCACCTCGGATAAGATATAAGCAGTCGCCTCTAGCACCTCTCCTTGCTCCTCCTTCTTTAAGTCTGTCTCTGCATAGCTAAAAGGCAGCTATAGGCTGTTGAGTACGAGAGGGGGAAGCTGTTGAGTACGAGCTAAACAATGGCGGCCTTTCAGGCAGTTGGTGCTGGCATTGGGAGATGGTTGCAGTTCCGAGATCCAGTCAATATTTGGATGTGGTTGCCTTTTTGTGTCCGTTTTTAATCCAAGCGGAACCAAGCAGCAGGGAGCAGGGGAAAGGCTGAGAGGGGAAAGTGAGGGCAAACACTATGAACAATACAAATGGGAAACTCACAATGTCACTGGGAAACTATCACAACATTGCCTCACTACCAAGTGAAAAATAGAGTATTGTGTATTCAAGTGGAGATTAAAAAGAGAGCTCGGTAAGAAAAGTAAATAGTGGAGGTCATTGCACTATGAAGGCAATCTCTGCAAGGAGTTTGATTTTTCTTTTGCCTGAAGCAAAAATAACAGGGAATGTTCCAGACATGAAGGAAGGAGATGCTCCGGATTGTCAGCAAGGTCTTTTAAGTTAAATCTGTGGGCCAAACATGAAAACGGGACGGTAAAATTAGTCTTTAATTGTCTTATGGAGAAATATGTGGCAACTGCTTTGGATAGCTTTGGATGGGGCATTATCAGGGATTAAAGAAAACCCCTTGGGTGACAGTGCTCTCCCTCAATGCCGGAATCCCTCGCTCCCAGCTGTCAGGTTGTCAGTCCCACCAATTGAGGTTCTTTATGATGGGGGGGTATCAGTTTCCATGGCTTTGGAGACACAAGACGCTTGCAAGATTAAGAACAGAACTCAGCCCTGATTCTCCCTTGATCCCACCTATCAGCGACAAATAAAACACCTAGGGCAAGTGCCACGCCTACAAGCAAACCATATGGACCATATGAAGCAGCTAAATCGCTGGTGAGAAGGGAATTCACTAATGGCTGCTTGTCAGTGCAGCAGTAAATATCCAACTTCTACATTTTATTCCGTCGTCTGGTTACCAACACAGCCAGCAACACTAACCAGGAACATATGTGCCTAATTTTTTCTTATACAAGCCTTTCCAGTGCAATATGCTATAGTCCTTGTTTTTCTGATTTGGATTTCTAGAGGTGTCTTAATTATGGCTCTTTCTTGCAAATCCTACTAAATACAATCTCCACAATTTCTACTTTGTTAATCATGCTTTAAATAGTAAATCGGAGAGAATCAATTTAAGAGCTTAAGAACACTTTTCAAAACCTGATCAAACAAAGTATACTTTATAAAGGTTTTGCTATTGCTGTTTGAATAATGTCACCTTACTTGTTAAAGCTATTGGAAAAAATATACATTTTAATACTATAATCACGGAAAATAAGTTGTAGCACCCGTGAATTGCTTACATTTCTCTCGTGCAGGATGGAGCTGTTGTTAATTTGCTGTACAATGAGAGTCAGATTAATCAAAATACAAGCAGGCTGAGAACACTAAAGTGAAATATGCAAACTAATAAAAATAAGGCCAAGTGAGAATCTACAGTATGTTACAAAGCTACACAAGTCACATAGAATTTTGTTCAACCTTACAAAGACTTTGCCAATTTAGTTCACCAGCTAACCTTGCACTCCAGATGCCAGCAGCCTCAAGCACTTTCATCTAGATCTGAGTGCAGCAGCTTCTTGCTTGACTTTATTTCAACCATTCTCCGCTTATCATAGGAAATCATTCGAATCCCTCGAAACACAGGCACTTATTTTGACCAGCTCTTAAATCTAACAGATATAGACTTGTTGAAAACATAAAAAACAAATAAAATGTCAAAATGATACCAACATATAATAAGTCCTATAAATCATTCAGATTCCTCCTGGTTTGTTTGAGGATGAATAGTTATATACTGCATGCATATATTAAATATTGATTTTATTTCCATTTTCTCATCGAAAAAAAAGTTACATACACAATGTATATGACGTGTATGACACAAAGATGAGTGCCGGGAGACGATTTGTATTAGCTGGAAAAGAACAGCAGCGTCAGCAGTTATTTTTTAAGATATGCGGCCATTTACTTTAGAAACAAATCTGAAACGACCATTTAGAGAATCTACAAAAAGAGAAAAATATGAACCACACAGGAAATAAACTAGAAATCATAGTTGCATCATATGGTGATGGTATAGAAGGCTACGTATCATGTGGGTTTAATTCCCGAAAGAAAGTAGGCGTGCTAACTGTAATAAAATGACTCAACCAAGGAAAATCTGATGAATCTTTTTCATGGGAAAGAGAAGTTAAAACCGTGCTGTTCATTTTGTGTATGTTTATTGTATTTCTTGTATGCCTTTTGGAAATTGTTATTACAGTCTTCCTGTCATTTTCTCCACAACATTAAATGTTTCAGAAGAAAAGAAATGCAGTCAAGTGCACTTAAAGCAAACATACATTTATGTATTTTCACAAATAAAAATTGGTTGTTCATCTACATCTGCAATAGGTCGTCCAATCTTACAATTTTCCACTTAAAAAAGACCATGTAAGCCAAATTTTCTGGTGCTGTTTTTATAAAAGATGACTGCTTTTTTTTAAGTTAAAAAAACACATTTATAATGTACAGTTCGTTAAAATTGTTTAACAAAGTCCTCTCAACTTTTCACAAGCAAGGAGTATTAGAAAAAATCCATTATTACTTCACCGCAATATCAGAGACCTAAATCAAGTAAATTGTACACAACGTGAAGGTCTTAATTTTATTTTCAAAGTTTGAGGTTCAAATTTGGAACATTCTCACATTTTCTTAAATATGTCCAGCCAATCTAAAGTAGACACAAAAATGCTAAAGATTTTCTTCCAGGCAGCAGCTATAGAAAACAAACCATGACTGATAAATATCAAAGTACCATTCGATCAATTGAGGTCATTTTATGGTTTTTACAGCAAATTTAGCTCTAAGAAACTAGAGCTGCAGTCTTTCAAGGCAGTTTGTTTCTAAACAAGCCCCCTTTATATTGGCATTTTCTTGAACTTCGTTGAGTTGCTCATACAAGCTATTCAATACGTGTAAGCTATTCAAATTTAACCCTGTAATGCCAAATGTATCATATTTGATACATACGGTTTCTGAAATGTTTTTACGTCTGCCACCTTTTGCATAATTTAATGGTAAAAACTTTGCTCAAAATCCTATTGTACACAATCAGATACACCTGATAACAGGGGGCGGAAGACTACACAAAAAATAATCTTGACTTCTGCATGGTAATAAATTATTAATATTAAAAATTTATTTTTGTTTTTTCTTTTTACATATTTTGTTAAAAGGCCAAATAAAGACTTCAAACCAAAAATAGTAATTTTCTGTTTTGTTTTATTCTTGGATCGGGCTTTAAAGGGTTTATAACAATTGCGGATGTGGATCCGACATCCCCCAAGCGCCTGGCATTAGCAAAGGAACATGTCCCCTTCCATCAAAGCACAGCAAACAAGAATACATGTTAATTTAAATTACAGAGAAGCTCCTTTTGGCTCCTTGGAAACAATACTAAAAAAATCAAAATTGAAATGTCAACACGTTTCCATTTTTCACAACTGACTTCCCATTTCAATTCCAGAGCTCCTGTAGGGGATTTCATGAATGGCTGAGTGTGTACTGCTTCTCCAGATGCCATTTGTCCCTCTATTTGGTAAAACGGGCAGCAGAGGAGGCAACACTGAGTATGGTTTGATCAGTCAGAGGGGATCTGGGGCCCATGGGCGAGTACAGAATACTATAATGGAGTTTTTCCATTAGGGCCTTTTCAGGCTTACAAATCAGGGCATAGCAGAGAGACAGGCTGACCGGCGTGTGATGTCGTTTATATGCAACACGAGCATCAGACAACGATAAAGGACAATGCAGCAACTATAAAACCGACTCAGTGTTGGACCGCCGTGTTGGTTCGTGTCTTAGGCATTTATGACATTTATGATCACGGAAATAATTCAATCGGACTTTCGTTGTTGCCTGGTTTTTCAATTTACTTGACAAAGTCACCAACTTATCAGGATACTCCCTGCCCAATCAGCCCTACTCAGCTCTGATGGAACCCCCGAAGTAGGTGCGAAGGTTGTAACTGTTTCACGGAGCCACCCCGAGTGGAAATGCAAAAATACTGTGTAGAACCAAACTGATCTGAGTAGGCTCTAGTGGGAATGCACCATTACGTACTGCTATGGGTCATGGTGCTACAGCTAAGGTCAGGTTTAGATTAGTCATGAAAGAGAAAAAGCAGACAGTCATTTAGAGTTACTCATTTATTTAGTCTCCTTTCTGTAGAGACAAAGCCCAAGCAGGGTGCCATGCCAGGACCATCACTGGGCCCCATAGCTAGCGATACTGCCCCGGTTTTGACCCTGACAACAGTCCCCTCTGTGCTGCTTAACCCCCGGCTTGCCTGCTTACTATCGAGTGTGTAACCTCAGCATCTGTGAATCTCTCACAAGACCATGCGCCACGCTGAGCCTTGGCTGCTGCCGAAATACCCTGTGTAGGCCCTCATTGTCTGCCTCAGCATGGGCCAGAAGGGAGCAGAGGGGACACTGGGACGGGGGAGGCATGGCAACCAAAAAACCAGACTTGGAAGCAGGGAACCTGCTTGAAAGCATAGGGGAAAGAAAGTTGCTATCAGCTTCTGAACTGCCTTTGATGTCACACACACACACACACACACACAGGCAACATTTGCATCTCTATCATTAACATCCTGTCAGCACAACTGCTCTTTACCAAACACTCAGCACACTTTGCCTCAGGGACACCACCACAAACATTCACATCAGCCATGGTGAGTGTTGTGACGGTGAAGCCCAACATCCTTGAGTATATTCACCTCCTTTGCTGAAACTGAGGCACAAGGAGCACTACTAGTAACTACTAATAACTGAAACAAAGCGACACACTTGAGGTACCACTGTATGCACAAGTGTCAGGTACTGACTCGCTTTCTTAAGAGAGGTAAACCAAAACAAGAATCATCAGCCAGTTACAAATATTAATTGGTTTACGTTTGCAGCAGCAGCAGTTGCAGTTTCCAGTATTCTTGAACACTTTGGATCAACTTAAGGCCCAGAAGCTTATCTCTTAGGTCTTTTGTCAGGTCTTTGTGCTCCCCACACACTGCACATCATGTAGACATATGTCAGTATGTTTTCACCAAATAAGTGTTGCGATATCCTGTTAATTCATTAAAAAATAGAGTGATTTCTTACTGTCAACTTTTGGGTTGGGACTAAATAAATTCACGAAATTCTCAAAGCAACAAATAGACATAAGATTCAATCAAAATGGCTTCTTAGTGATCCTCTATGGGAAGATGCCACATTTGTTTAGTAATTAAAGGCCTTTTAGGCTTCAATTATTCTACAATGAATAAACAAATCATTTCTGAAGACATGTTACTTCAGAAAACTTTCTAATATTGCAAGAAAATCCAATATAGGCCTAATGAAACTTACATGAGCCTTCACCTAACACACACAAAAATAAAAAGTTTTCTATTTTACATCAATAACAGACAGCGCCGAATGAGCTCCGCGGAGGGCCAACTTAAATCCTATGTGAGCAAATAGAGTTTGAGGAGGGCATCACTGTGGAAACTCTCCGCAAATAAAGTAGAATTGCGAAAACGTGTGCGACAAATGCGTATATCAACATTGTATCCCTATCATATCAACGATAAAGTTACGAATCGAACCTCAGTCCACAGTCATTCAGCG